TAGTAACAGAAACTCCTTTGCAATGTAAAGAATCTTTGTACATTATGGTAGAGACAGCTTCTCGATATCACCTCGAGTTATGCCAAATTTTGCACGAAATATGCTTTCTGTTCCTACAAATACGCCTCACTCAAACAGTTTCCGAGTTTAAAGAGCGAACTGTTCACGAGCGACGTTTTTGTGCTTTACGACTGCGACAGCTTGCTACGTTAAACGGTAATAAACAGTCGTACAAGTTTAATAACTTAGCGCATTAGCGGACTGACGGAGAACTGAGGTTTCTAGATCCTACTAAAAGTTTTTTTTGGCTGACCGTGCGCTAATGCCATAAAGGTAGGGAATGCGCAGGCGCCGGTTATCGGGAGTGACCTTGACCTGTAAAATTGCCCACAAAAGTTCAAGAGTGTGTTTGCCCTAGTTCAGTCTTCCTTAAAGTGCACAGATTTATCTTCCCGCTGATGTTAAACTTAAAGGTGATCAGGGTTGAGTGGACAAATTTATTCTTATTTCAGGGGAAAAAACCTCAGTCGAACTAGGTGATATATATTAAATGCTTGCCAGTGCTATCAGCAGAATTTCTATCTGTGGGCAAGCGAAGGAAGTCCGTAAATAAACAACCTTATTTGTCGACATTCCCCTGGATGCAAGATCATATTAGTTGCTCCGGACGGACGACATTTTAGATGCTTCGGTTTTTTAAGGAGCCGCTAATTTATGGACAACCTGCGATGCACGGATTGTTTTCTGACGGAAAATCCGCGACAGATAACCCAATTTAATTTGGTTTTTGGAGCGTCATCAGCACAGGCCTCGCTTTCCAGCTAGTCACCCTCGGCTCAGGGTATTTGGTTGGAAGTATAACAACTGCTAAATAGATCTTCCCTGAGAACGCTGCTTCGCCAAGACAGCCTACCAGACATACGAAAATTACCTATTCGATACTGAGTTATAATACTGCGGAAGTCACACTGGAAAATCCACAAGTTACCAAGGGAGGAGCACAAGGGGCTGAAAAAGAGAAAAGCATATATGAAATTGACATTCTATGCGTTGACGAGAGTCGAGCCACCATTGCCCTCGTGTCAATACGAATCGTCGAGAAAAAATATTGCGCTTGTGAACTAACGACGATCCCAAAGAACCAGCTACTCCATCCATCTGCAACCGATGGTCGGGAAAGTGATGGCAACTTATCGGTTAGAACACATCGTCCATCAGGGGATCTGTGGTCATTAAAAACTAGGCCAAAAGCCTTACCACTAAGCCGCAAGAAGGAAGAGGACCGAAACTAGAAGATACCCTCAACAGTCTGGTTAGAGTACGGGACATAACAGTCTTTTATTACCTTATAGTTCCGGTTTAGAGTCTGTTGCACTAATACAATAAGGGAGAGTGTGGGAGATGCAGGGCAAGTGAGTACTATCACTATAATCATATTCACACGCATGTTAACGTCCCTCGACACGGTGGACTTTGTCGGGTACACCTGTCAAACTATCAGGTGGACACCATGCGACGTCAGTTTGTCTACCATGACTGCCATATCTGCGTTATTCGTTTTCCCTAAGTAGATCCTAT